ATAACCCAAACCTTTACCATTATCGCTCTGGAAATAAGCGCAAGCCCCTGAAATATTTCGGTTCCTATTCCCATTTATTACCCATTTAAATACTTAAGGCAACCCTTATAACCATACGTCATTAATGAATATATTTTTTACCATAACAGTAGAAGTAAACCCCCGGTTTTTTGCCGCATGAAGCTACTGCGTTTTTTGACTGTGGCTTTATGGCATACGCTGCTACCAATGAAATAAATACTATCGACACACTTCGAAACGTAAATTAAATACAGAGGAAGACAAGTGAGACTGATTGGAATTTCTAGCTTTCTAGCCGTCATTAGCCAGTCGGATCATTTGGGATTCGGAATTTGAGTAATTGGGAGTCAAGCTCATAGCGAATTTCTGTCAGTGCCCATAGGCCCTCGAATATACTGATAGCATGCATTTTTCTCCTTTATTTTCGATGACCTTTTCAATCCAAATATATTATATATAAAACGTGTACAAACATACTATTTTTTTACTCCTTTGATAATAATATGATATTCATATTCTATCTTTCAAGAAGGTTTACCTTTCGGTTTAAAAAGGGTCTAATTATGCGGTTTTTTAGGACTGTTAAAGTTTAATTCATAGTGCATCATATTCATCAATTTAAGGAAGTCATGTAATGCTTACATGGGTATTCATCAATTTATTAACGTTGTCTATAGGGTGCACAGCATGATCCACACCCATTGCTAATTTTTTAGAGACCTATGTGATTTTCCCCTCAAAACCAAACGAAATGCTACTTCTTATTAGATACAGCATAAAAATTTGGAACATTGAATGTCAGTAAGGGTCAAAATTAATCTGCAATGTAGAACGTGTTTTCGAACCGAAACTTTAAGAAGATCTAATTGGCTACCAAATAATATTTTTATGACCGTTTTCTATAAAATATATTTGAATATATAAGCTCATCGAAAATCAATGGGAAAAATTCATGCTACAGAATATACTTTTTGTAGGCGATGAGAAAGAATTTTGTATGTAAGCCGACATCCTGACTTGACTGAAATACCTTGGAATTTTAGGCTGCACGACAATTAATCATACAAACCTTTTTAAGTACTATTTTTTTAAATCAAAACACAATTTAGGTTTTCTATTGACAATTCGTCCGACAAAGAATCCACTATACAAGCTCAAGCTCATGTTTTGGCCGTTGTAATCGGAAGAATTAACTGGCGTGGCAGGGACATTTTGCGTACTTGGAGTCATGGCGGCGAAAGAACACGCTAGTGTCCGCTAAAATGAGCAACTGCAAGCCATGTGGACGTAATACCTTGTCCAATAAGGCTTCACCCACTGCTAGGATGACTGAGCATAAATAAGTATACCATCTTAAGTGCCATCATATGTTTGGGTTGTGCTAAGAGCAACAGTGACCTTGAGCAACGTCGCACGGTGGCCAGTAGCGGTTGGCTGGGTGCCAAGACACCCTTTTTAGGGGGCATGCGTGGGTCTTAGGGAGACCCTATAGAAACCGTACCCACATTAACGTATGGCTACCTGTCCCCAAAATCGCGGTAGAACAATTAACGCTGCATCCGTCTAAAGGACTTCCTCTCCGCATCCCAGGTATGTGTATAGATTGAGAATAAAAAGCTGTATCGGGATGCCAGCCTGGGTAAATTAGACCGAGCAATTGCACTCGAAGAAGACCATTCAAGATGCGCTCAACTTCCAACGCGGAGTCAGTTTGAACAAAGATCGTCCCAGGTATGTAGGCGCACAGAAACTGATCCATGAAGATGAGATCCAAAGGTTCCAACAGCAGTTTGAGCGAGCGGGGTCCGTTTGGCAGAGCTGACACATATTTCGTCGGCTGCGTAGGCGGCACACATTTTAACCTCAGCTTTGACGTAATCGACCGCCAGCAGAGCTGTGTGAAAAACCTGCAACTTCGTCACCATGCTTGGCTGCCAAGAAGATTTCACGACGGAGGCCAACTACCCCGTCAAAAATGATAAACACTTTTTGTTAAGGATGT